AAATGGATTTGGCCGAATCAATGATTAGCTATGGAGATGCGTCAGGTCTGCCCATCCATTCCCATCCAGCAGGTCTAGAGGCAAACTGGGCCTCTGCTCCCTCTGTAATGCTGCCAACATTCCAGCCACCGCTGCACTTTGGGTAGTCTCCTTGGACCCGGCATGAAAGTCAACTCCCTCCTGGCTCACTTCGAATGCTAATAGAATGTTTTTAAAGAGTCCAAATAGCCAGAATAGCGTCCCCAGATGCTTTCCTGAGCGCCGCTCTTTTCCAGGTTAGCTCCCTAATGATAGGCTGATGTGTGCTGAATTCAGCGATGTGATCAAGATATACAAATAAAGCAAGGCCAAATGAATACAGCACATCTAAAAGGCAGGACATCATCATTAATGATCATAGTAATAGCGGGAATTATTATTTTACTTGTTAGCCTGCAGCAGGCCTTCTTCCTCCTTCCTGTTCAGCCCTAGACACTTTGGTTCCAATCATTGCCCCAGAATCACTCCTTGTTAGCCATAATAACAAACCTGGCAAGGTGCTAAGGCAGTAACAATAATAACAGCTCACTTTTCTACAATGCTTTACAGTTGACTATACTAGTGGGATTTTAGGGACAGGAAAAAAAAATGCCTGCCTTGCTCCAAAATACTTCCTCAGTTCAATTCAGTCAGTTTAGTACAATTCAATTCAACAAACATTCAATAGGCAAGGCACTGCAAATAACACAAATATTTCTGGCAATACAATTTGCAATAGTAAAAAACAACTGGAAACAAACCAGGCGTCCAATGATTGGAAAATAATTGAATACATTATACATTATGATATGTGAATGTAATGGAAGACTACTGTACCAAAATAATAATGAATACAAAAAACCCTCCAGAAATATGGAAAGATTAATATGAAATGATGCAGAATGATAAAAATGGAAGCTAAATAACAAAGAACATCTTAATTGCAACCATGTGATTAAAGACAATAATAACAACAACAAATTCATGTTTTACTTCTAAAAGAAAAGGTCTGAAACAGTGGTTTTTAAACTGGGGTCCATGAACTTTTAAAAAAATGTTGATAACAGTATTTCAAAATAATTAATTTCCTTTGTAATGATGGTAAAGCAATATTTTAATCATTGTTCCCTGTTTCCTTGAGTCTCCCATGTCAGTTAGGCTAATTTTTCTTTAAAAGCTATAGAGACATTCCTTGAATCATGGATGACTTAAGGCACTAAACTTGTTATCACCGTTTAGTTGTTTTCAGTTGTATCCCACTCTTCATGACCCCTTTTGGGGTTTTCTTGGCAAAGATACTGGAGTGGTTTACCATTTCCTGCTCTAACTCATTTTATGGATGAGAAAACTGAGGCTAACAGAGTGAAATAACTTGCCTAGGGTCACACAGGTATTAAGTGCCTGAGGCCACATTTGAACTCAGGTCTTTCTGACTCCAGTCCCTATACTCTGTTCACTGTATCACCTCGCTGCCCCAGCGGGATTAAAGGCTCAGACTATTGACATTACTTTCTGGTGACTGAAAGCCAACACAAGGAGCTCCAGGTGTACTCTGATAGCAGTGAATCAAGATGGTCAACTCAGGCTAGCCAGCTTACTCCAACAGATCAGATGGTGATATCTTCAATGCCTATCCTTGTTGACTTTCCTCCTTCTGCTATGGCTGAGCAAATCTCTTTTTTGTTCACTATTGAATGTCCTATGAATGTCTCACTTTGTTTCAATATTGAATCTGAACTATCAGAGGAATGGCTTATGCCAGGCTTAGAACAATAGTTTTTTTGTGCATTTAAAAACATTATTCTGAGAAGAGGTGTATACGCTTCACCAAACTGCCCAAGAAGTCCATGGCACAAAGAAGCTTAAGAAACCCAGCTCTAGAAAGAATAATGAAAACGAGGGTGGTATGTTTATTACTATGTTCAAGTCAATAAATACATCTTTTGGATTGGGGTTGATCAATAAATGATAGAAGCTTACAGATACATGCACATTCATTTTAAATCTCTTAATTTATGTTTCATTTTGCTAATTTGTTTTTACTTATTTTCTTTTCTTATGTTTTTGTTTGAAGCATTGACGTAATAGTTAGAAAGCTGGCCTTGGAGTAAGGAAGATCTGGGTTCAAGTGTTGTCTCTGATAACATACTGACTTTGTAATTCTGGGCAGTTCATATAATGCCTCACTGCCCCCAGACAACTGTTCATTATAAAAAGTTGCAGAGCAATTGGAGATCTGTATTGGTAGGAGTTTCCTTACCTTGTGCTCCCTACACCAAGAGAATGTTGTATACAGTAATAGCAATATTGTTTTAAAAACAACTTTGAGTGACTAAGTTATTTTGACTGTTACAAATACCTAAATTAGCTACAAAGGACGTATGAAGGAAGACACTATCTGCATCTAGAGAAAGAGCTGATCAACAGAGGTATATACAGAATGTTTTAACATATCTATATCTCTATATACATACTTGTATCTAATGGTAGCCATCTCTAGGGTGAGAGGGGAGAGTGGAGGGAAGAAAAAAAGTAAAAAAATGTTACATGATACCTTTATTATATATTTAAAAGGAATACCAAGTTGTACATAATAGATTTACAATTTCATATACATTTTTTTCTTTATTCTACTGTTACAGAAATGCTTGTTTAATTTCTTAAGTTCAAAATAAAATAAATAAAAATTTTAAAAAAGGAAAAAAACCTAAGAAAAAGAAAGTTCTTATATATCTATGTATATATCTGTATGTGTGTATATTATATATGTATATATTTTATATATAATATATACATAAGTTTCTCCTTGTTAATGGAAGATAAGACAAACAGACATAAATAGAGATTGCTTTAGCTATAGACGAGAGGCAGAAAGGTATAATGGATAAAGGTGTATTGGCTGGCCTCAGAGTCAGAAAGTCCTAGGTTCAAGATGAGCTTTCTTACATGTATTAGCTATGTAATCCTGGGTGGGTCACTTTCCTTCTCAGTCCCTTAGACAACTCTTTAAGATTAAATTGCAGAATAGTTGGTGATGCATTGGAAGAAGTTCCTTACACCAGACTTCTCCAAAGTAGGATATACATGCCTCAAGGAGGGTACAAAATGATCCTTTGGAATATGGGAATTTTATAAGTTAAAAAATTTTTTTTAATGGATTAAGCTTCATTAATATTTAATATATGGTCCATTGATACCTGTAGTTGGTGCAGATGTCCAATCATTACAGTATATGAGAGGCAGCTTAAGGGAAGACTAGGAGCCTCTTAATATGGAGGAGTTGACAGTGGTGCTTTTTAGAGTAGTGTGACATAATATAACATGTTTTTCTGGTCAAATGGCTTTATGGATTATATGATCCAGTTTTAACTAGACTAACCTTCACAAAACAGACTTACGTGGCATTAAAAAATTCTTGCAAATAGACTGCAGATTGAAGATAATGCAAATAATATGAGCACAAGTGAATTAAAAAATGTTGATGCTTCCACTCAACTCTTTGTAAAAAATCATTAGAAAATAAAAACAAAGATCTAATCAGATTGGAAAGTTATATGCTGCCCCCCCATTGAAATGAACTAGAAGGTTATTTGAAATATAGATTTACATTCACTGTCATTAATGATATCTTTAACCTAAGTGTATATTATATCTTAAGATATTAACAATTGAGACTTTATAAAGCCACCATGATTAGCAAGACATTTAAAAACTAAGCTTTAGCTATTAAATACTACGTAAGTGTGTCATCTATAAAAACTCTCACGTTGGGACACCTAAATAACTTAGAAATAAAATTTTCTAACCTTTTAAAAAGTCTTTCAAATGGAAGTGTTCCAGTGGCATTTGTTAAAGACATAAAAATGCAACACATTCTGATTAGTTTGAAAGAAAAACTGATTGACATCAGAGAAGATAAAAATTTACTAGGCAAGTTTCACCAGAAAACCTTTGCATTACTGGAAAATGGATTTGAAAAATGAGAATCATGATTTGGTAAGTACAGCCAATGATGAGCTTTTATTTGTACCTATGCATCTTTGTAAAGTGTTTTTCAGCTGCGAGGCCATTAAAATAAAATATCAGCTAAACCGAAATCAGAACCAGACTTCTGAATCACTGCAGCACAAAGCGGTAAACCAAGATTTTTTTTAAAAAATGAAGCATATTCATACATTGCTCTTCCTAAAATTATCAATAATACTTTTTCATTGAGAGCAAAAAAGGTTTTTGTGCTGTTAAAGTATGTTTAAAAATGTTTATTTGATTTTTATGTCTTCTTAGTTTTTATTTTTTGTGCATGATATTATTAGCATAGCAGGAAACGTCCATATAGTGCAGACTGTGGGCTCGCTTAAACAACCTTACCTCCTACTCACAGATAGGGTTCTCAGAGGCCAGCTACTACTACCCTGAGGGGTTGTGGGTTCTAACACCGCCACTCACAAGACCACATCTGTGTGTTCCTCTATATTTAACCAGTGAACCTCAATACACAGCCCCACTGGAAACACACGTTCAACATGTTCCCAAATCATACACTTCTTATTGCCAATAACAGGATGCTACAGCAGTCTTGAATTTCAAACGATCACATTCAAGGGATGCCCAGCACTTGCCATTTAACCCCACAGTGCAATAATCTACCAATATTTGAGATTTCTATATAGCACGGGAAATTGAAAATTCTTGCTCCGTAAAAGTCATGAACACGTCACATTTTTATAAATGAACATCCAGTGAAGAGAAAAATAACAATTCGAATTCATCTTTATACGCAGAGCACGCAATCCGGTGCGGCGGGACACGGACCGAAGAGTCACGAAGTCGCTGGGCATTTACGAGGCCTGCCGCCGACCGGACGATCGCCCCCAGCGTCCGGCCGTTCGCTCCGGACCGAGCTGGGAGGGACCGGGCATCTGTGGCTGCGGGGCGAGGGGGCTGGCCCGGGAGGGGCGCGGGAAAGGGGGCGGGGCCGGGGGCTACTGGGTGCAGAGAATGAGGGCCACGATGAGGCCGTAGAGGCCCAGCACCTCGGCGAAGATGAGGACGAGGATCATGCCCAGGAAGAACCGCGGCTGCTGCGCCGTGTCCCAGACCCCTGCCTCGCCCACGACGCCGACGGCGAAGCCCGCGGCCAGGCCGCCCAGGCCCACGCTCAGGCCGGCCCCGAGCTGCAGGAAGCTCTTGAACAGGCTGATCCTGTGCGACTGCGAGCTGATGAGGAGCACGGCCACCGCCAGCCCGTAGATCGCGATGATGCCCGCCATGACCACGGGGATGACGGCCTTCGTGATCTGCCTGGGGCGCACCACGGCCACGGCCGCGCTGCTGGTGCCGCTCTTCGCCGTGCCGTAGGCCGCACCCAGGGCGCTGCCCATGACGGCGAAGAAGGACGCGTACTCGGGGCCGTCGGTCGTGGCGGCGCGGGCTGGCCAGCCGGAAGGTGGACGGGCGAGGGGAGAGGCCCGGGCGCGGGCCCGAGGGTGCCATGCTTCCGGCCCCGCCGCCGGCTTCTGGGAGAGACGGAGGCATGGGGAGGCCTAGCGAGGCCCGGACATGCAAGGCTACGCCGGCGGGGTACCTGCGCCCTAGAGATATAAAAATCCCTTCCCTCCGCCTAAGCAGGGGGTCTTTTCCGGCCCTCGGAGATCCTTTTCTCTTCAGGTAGTCGCCACCAAGTCCACCTCTGGGGGAGGAAGGATGAGTAACTTCCTTGCTCGGCTGAGCTGGCTCCTGGGGTCAAGGGGATTACTCCTCAGGGTTGCTTTCCGGTGTCCTCACCCCACTAGGCCTGGAGTCAGGAAGAGCTGAATTCAAATTCCCCTTAGATAATTACTAGGTGTGTGATCCTGGGTAAGTCACCCTGTTTGCCTCAGTTTCCTCATCTGTAAAATGAGCTGGAGAGGGAAATGGCAAACCACTCCACTTGGCCAAGAAAACCCCAGGAAGGATGCATGAAGTGTTGGACTGAACACAACTGAACAACTATTGATAGAATATTATAGTAACTACAAATGTGGGTTAGTTAGGATACTGAGTAGAAATAGGTAGATCTTCTCTGGACAGGGAAATGGCACACCGCTCCAATATTTTTGCCGGCAAAACCCCAAATAGGGTCAGAAAGAGTCAGACGTGACTGAGCAACAAAGGACAAAATCCTCACCAGATTCAGCCGTTCTAGCCACCAGTTCTAGGACTTCCACTGTCAGTAAGGACTTTGGATGTTGGCTCTCTCGGATGACCTAGTCTCATTCATCTTTAGATGCTCATCCACCCAAGATCAAGAAAGAAGAGACGTGACTGAGACAGGAGAAATAAAATGGCATGTAATCACAGTCACACTGTAACTGGGTGGACGAGGTGTTTCCCTGGCTGCTAGCCCAAATCGGTTTTTGTCTTTCTTGCTGCCAGGGAAGACAATGAGAGATTGCTTGCTCAAACCTTGTGTAGGCACACTCAGTTCTGGCTTAGCAGCCAGTTAAGAGATGTTACTGTCAATATGGACTACACTGACAGGAAAACTACAGAGGATGCACGCTCCCTTTCTAAAGTGGAGGGAAGATCCCCCCCATTACTCATACTAGGAAGCAGGTTCACTAAAGTTCTGTATATATTCTGTATAATCAGCCAGGAAAGGCAAACCCATGTGTGTTCTAAGGGCCAGTCCCTCCATTAGACATGCAGTTTATAAATAAATATGCACCTATTAGAAATGTATGCTCAATTTTTTTTTTACTCATAAGGGTGTACAAAAAGAAGTCTAGAAACCATTGGCCTACACCAACAAAAATCATAGGTCTAGAGATACACACTTATGCACGTGTGTGTTAATATGTACATTTATAGGCACATGCATATGTATCTCTACATATTCATATATGTGTATGTATTTGTATGCATATAATACCTATAAAAATGAAAAAAGAAATACAGCCAGTCTGCCAAAGTTAGAGCTTTATTCTTTCCACCCAGTTTATGATGGGTAGGGAAGGCTTGTTTGGTGTAATTTTAGGGACCGTGGGAAGTTGCCATTGCCAGAAAGAATTTTTTTTTTTTTGCTTTTAGGCAATTGGGGTTAAGTGACTTGCCCAGGGTCACACAGCAAGTAAGTGTCAAGTGTTTGGTCTGAGGCCGGATTTGAACTCAGGTCCTCCTGACGTCAGGGCTGGTGCTCTATCCACTGCGACACCTACCTGCCCCCCAGAAAGAATTTTCCAACACATTTGCTGATCCTTAGAATTCCCCCTTTAGAGCTTTAAGCTTTTAATCTGCCTCTTCATTTTCCTCTTCTTTCAACTAAAGCTCCCTTGAAATATTGATACCTTTAGGGCCTCTTAGAGGAGTCGTGTATTTTGGGATTTTGGTGGCTCTCTGATTTCCTTGGCATGGTTACTTTTGCTAATGTAACCTTGGAACTGAACACACTGTGATTTTCATTCATATCTTTCCATTGAATATTTCCATTAAACCTCCAGAGAGGCACCCAACTATCTGAAGGCCTTTATTTTGTTTCTTTCTCTTTTCAAATATCTGAGGAGTATCCAGCTGTTATTTTTCATTCTCCCTAAGTGACTAGTTATTATTACACAATGGGAATTGAGGATTTTCCTGCATTTGATTTCTGTGGATAAGAAGGGAGGGCCTCGCCCTATAAATTGAGAGAGGGGAAGGCACTGTTATCTTATCATTGATTCTGCAGTCACGTCTGGGCTTGGCCCTGCTTTATAAATGTTTAGGCCTTAGAGCAGGGGTGGGGAACCTTCGGCCTCGAGGTCACATGTGGCCCTCTAGGTCCTTGGATGCTGCCTTTTGACTGAGTCCAAGTTTTATAGAACAGATCCTTTTATGAAGGGGATTTGTTGTCTGAAGTTTGGATTCAGTGAAAGGGCAGCACTTGTGGAGGCCGCAGGTTCCCCACCCTTGCCTCAGAGTCTCCCGGAATCCTTTGTTAAAATGTAAACACTAAGGCTGGAAGGGCTAGGGAGTTAAGCCTTTGCTGATGATTACTTAATCAGCATTCTTTCCCGCTGAGAGGTTGTTGTGGATAGATAACACTGAAGGAGGAGGGAGACCTGGCTAGTAAGGGAGGTGGGAACACCAAGACTGGACTTTGTCACTTACATAATATCATGTCTGCTAGACTTGAGTCATAGAATCTATTTGGAGTCAGAGGACTCAGGATCTAATCCCATCTCTCTCACGGTTTGGGTATCTGAGTGATACTGAAATCTGGCTGTCACTTGATGACACAGCCTCCCTGGCCATACTTTCTAGAACTGGCCCCACCTTTACTCATCCTCCTGTGCTCACTGGTAGAGGAGAGGTAGTGGGAATATTCCTCACTCCCCACTGCTACTTCCAGTGTCTCCCTCTACTTCCATTGCTCTGAGGTTCCTGCTATTCATATTTACTACCCAATCAAAATCTTGGTAGCATATATCTATATATATATCTATATATATATAGGGCCATCAGGTGGCAATAAACTTGAAAATGACATAATTTATTGGTAGGTTGGAGAGGCTGGTAATTTATTGCACATTTGTCAAAGATTTTCAAGAGCAGTCAGTCATTACTCAAATAGTTCTGATTTCATTGATTTGCAAATTATCTCCAGTGATGCAGATTCCAACCTATCTATGCTAGTCTACTCTTGTGCCTCTTGTCCATACCCTTCTGTAAATTCACCAAAGGGGATTTACCCTACATTCTGAAGAGGAAAAGCCATGATCAATAAAATAAAGATAGTAGACTTCAGGAGGCATGTATACATATTTTTATATGAATAAATGAATTCAAATTCAACAACTATTTATTAAGTACAAGCTTCAAGTGAGGCTTCATGCTAAGTGTGTGATATCTTTGATTTCACTGATGTAGGTATTCCCACATAAAGGTCAGGACTTCCCCATGCTGCCTTTGTGAAAACTGAACCCCATTAGTGAGAGATAGCCCCTTCATACCCCTTCCATCTGCATACCAGGTTACCAAAAGAAAGGAGTGGAACCTTGCAACATCACTTTCTAAAGTTTTCTCTCCTTTCCTCCTTCTGTCCTTCCCCAGAATACGGCATCTGTGCCCTTCGCTGCTCTTCAAGCGCTTCACAAGTCACATGGCTTGGCTGGCTCACAGTCTTTTCTCACGGCTGGCTGCAGCTCCCTGCAGCACTGCTGTTGCCCCATTCACACTTGATGAAAGGTCATTGGCCCATAATTTTAAGCTTTAAAGAGCTCTCATTGAGTGGGAGAAGGGAATACGCTGTGGCCTGCCCTACTATCTTTTACTGGCGAGACAGGTTTTTCCTGCTGGAGCAGCTTAGCTAGACACTCCTATTGTGAGGCCCCAGTGGAGACTAAACTGGTTAGTATCCACAGCATTGCAAACACAGGTTATGCTAGCAAACCATGGTTTTCTGAGAGAGACCAGTAATTTGAAAAGTGACTTTGCCTATAAAACCTTCTCTAATTTTCCTTCCAGTTTTCTAGTGAGTTTTACTTTTGGATTCCACTCCATATTCAAAACCCAGTCACGTGTCTGCTCCAGTTCCGTACAAAAGGGAATGTCTTCTAACAGTCAATCGGAAAGTGTTTTAAAGAGCTCTGCTACTCTCCTTTAGTCCATCATGTTATTTCCTGCCTGGTTACCATCTTATTAGATATTAAATATCAAGATAAGGAAGAGAAAAAGTGCTCACAGAAATTTTTTTTTTCTTAGAGAAAAATCATTAGCTGTTAGTGTGGCAATACAATTCCTACAAAAAAGACAGTTAAGGGAAATGCTTCTGGGTGGAACAATTCCCAGCTTTATGATGGGCACATATACTTCTGTCTTTGTGTAACAGTGATTACTCTGGCCCCTATTGCTGGAGCACCAGGGAATATAATTTCTGTCCATCTCTCAGGGTTCTTCAGTACCATTAAGGAGATTACAGGATGTCTGGTTTCTGTCATTGGTTCAAGTCCCCACCATTGTGTTCCCTTAAATTTAGGGGTCCCTAGTACTAGTTCCATTTAACCACACAGCTTAGCATTCACAAAGGATATTACTTCAAATATACAGTAACAAACAGACCAACATCCTTGCCCTTAATTCCTGGGGGATTAATCCCCCTTATGCCCTGTCCCTGAGCCAGTGAAGAAATAAGATTTACAATCTAACCGTTCCTATGTAGTGTGGTCCCACCAAATTCCAAGTCCAAAGCTCTCTTGGCTTGTGTCTTAGTACCCTGGCTTCTCAGGGCTGCGCTGCTGGGCTGGCAGCATCCTCTGGCCTGGAATCCTGGGTTCTAAGGTCATCATGCCTTGAACTCCCCAAACTGGGAATTCCATCTCCTTTGCCTAGAAATTAAAAGGATTACTGAAACAGATCAAAACCCCAACTTTGTGTTTTGGGACCATAGGACCTGAGGAAGCCCTTCCTCTCCTTCCCAACATAGTGCACGGTGCCCGTGCTATGGGTAAACAAGACCTTCATCCCTAGACCAGAAAGAAGCGACACTGAGACTGTCTTCATA